TTAAAAAATTAATTTTTTAAATATTAATTTAAAAACTAAAATATTAAATTTAATATATAAAATAACATTTATTTAACCTTCGTTTTAAAAGTTGAGGTTGGAAGTCTACGCATACTACCATGGGACAAATCAATCATTTTTCCTAACATATGTTAGGCAATTGTTACTCTTTTTATAATTTTAAAATTAAATTTATTAATAAATAAATATTATTTTATAAATTAAATAAAAAATTTTAATCTTAAAATAAGTATGAAATGATTAATTTTTTTAAATATATTGACTCAACATGAGGTAATACATTATTAAAAATTTCTTAAAAAATTAATTTTAACATATACAAAAATTATTACAAGACATTCTTACGTTAAAATTTTTTTTTAAACAGTGTTTATAAGGTGTGAGGGACGGGGACAAGTTTGAGCCTAAGCCTATATAAGTGCCTACGAGGCAAGGGGAACCACTTGCTTTATTAGATAGTAGGCTAAGAATCATCCTATATACCATGTAGGTAAACGGTGTAATTAGTCATGAATGGATTATTTAAATTCTTAACATCAATCCTAAAATTAAGCTTATGCAATTTCATAGATGCTAACTTGATAAACCACACATCAAGAGTCCTTATTGTAATAACATCCCACAATTCCATCATCTTTACAGTAACACACAAGACCTAAAGTATTAGCATACAATAAACACCACTACGCACATTATGTAGATTCTAGACGAAACAGAGTAACCTAATTGACATTGGTTTTTTTTTTTTTTTTTAACCAAGGAGAATTGTGGGGGATGGGGGAAGTAGTGCTTGGGTGAAGAACCAGGACTTGTATTTCATAGCACGTTATACATAGGTTATGACCATTAAACCACATAATGCTAGACATCTAATTGAAATTTGTTGAAGCCTTAAACAGCAGATGATGAAATTTAGACATTCTTTGGAGGAAGAGCATAAGAGGAGAAAATGGATAAGAATGCAGCATAAATGAACCCGATGAAGACCAACGCGGAGGCCGCATATCCCCTTTTGAAAAAGTTGTTAGAAATAGCTCCCTGAAATGCAGACTGCATATCACTGGTAGCACCAAATCCTGCAGCTGCCCCAGTTGCGAGCATATAAGATAGAACCTGTACCAGTTGTAGTTCAACTCATTAAAATATTCAAACATTTTTTTCATAGTTCAACCTGATCTCATGCTTCAAGCCAATAAAAGCAATTTTGAATATGTCATGATGCATGATTTTTCTTGGTTTGAAAATGAAACAAATTCTTTTTATTAATTGCATGCGACTGCGCAGTTGTAATCATATATTCTATATTAATATGAAATAAATATTTGAATTTAAATTATAATATACCTTGTCACCGTAAAAATCAAAAGTCGGACTTAAACGATTTCCGGTTCTGATATTGTAAAATGAAAATACAATTTGTAACAGTGTGTATACCATTCCGGTTACACATACACCAAGCAAGTACCTGTTAGTGCAACATAATTAAGTAACGTTAATGAAAATTGATCCCAAATTAGAAATCGTAAGGTTAATTAGTATTAGGATGATCAACTCACCGGTAGGTGTACATGTCCATGAAATGAATACGTATACTGATGAACCCTGTGTTATAGGCTAATTCAACGGTTCCAGTATCGGTGACGAGGACAACTAGCGCTGCAAATAGAAAAACGATGATCAGGAGCTTCAGTATGAGGATAATACGGCTGTGAGTCCTCGGAGGTGGCGGCGGCGGCGGCGGCAGTGGTGGTGGTGGATACATTTCTCTCTTCTGATTCTTTCCTTCTAATTATTGTCTTAAATTATGGTGGAACCAGAACTCAATTTATAAGCAAACTAGTTCATAGAAAAAAAAGAAGAAGAAGAAGAAGAAAATTTATAAGCAAACAAAGGTCTTAACTGCGGATCGTTCACTCAAGTCTCCAATACTTTAATTAAAGTTTTTTCTTTTCTTTTCTTTTTTTAATATATGATCTCCTTTCTTAAATGTTAAGAAAATGTTATTAACAACTAAAGTAATTACGTATAATGAGTTAAAAGATATGAGAATATTATTTAAAATTTAAATCAAATAACATAAAAATACTTTAAGATTTTATTTTTTTTAATACATGCTGAATTAATTGTTAAATAATATAAACATATTAATTACTAATTTTGACCTTAAATCTAAAATTTTATGTTATTAACTACTAATTCAACTATTAGCCGCATATATACTCTATTATAAAGTGAAGTCCACAAGGTTTTTTTTTTTTTTAAATAACACTGAAATATTATAGAAACAAACTATCCTATGAAGTAATAAATCTTTACATGATCAGCAATACATAAAAAGTCTACATTAGGTGGATACTCATACAAATTAAAAAACGTAGTCCATAAGTTAGTCAACTAATTAATTATAGTTGTCCTGTATATCATATATCATCACGAAGAAATTTCAAGACTGCAAGTAGGCAATCTGGCCCTTGAGGCATAATGGCATTAGTTACTGGTGCATTTCTCCGGTCAGGGTTCAAAACCCGTCCATTGCAAAATATGTTAAAAAAAAAAAAACTGCAAGTAGGCTGAAATACTAGCTTGTTTTACATAATGAATAAATTTGATAAAATAAAGACTGATTGGCTTTTAATTTTTATATATTAGGTGAAACATTTGAATTTTTAGTGTATCAAATTCCATTCTGTCACGAAATATTTGAAGCCATAGGTGGAGGATTTAAATTATCGCCTTTACTAATTGGAAAAAAAAAAAAAAACAGATTATCGACCTAGACATGGATTGAAAGTGTTAGATTGTAACTATAATTATATTTTTTTTAATGTTTTAATATTTTAAAAATATATATGATATATTTAATATTTATTTTAATTAATATTTTATATATTTTTAAAATAAAAAATATAAAAATTAAAAATTAAAATATCAAAAAAACATAACTAAACAAAAATACTAACATAAGAAAAAAAAAAAAAGAAAGTTACTAGCATAACCCTTACCTACTATCTTAAGATTCGTTTGACTATACTTTTTAATGCTATGTCTTTTAATTTTTATATTTTTTATTGTTATAAGAATTTATAAAATATTAATTAAAATAAATATATAATATATAATATATATTTTAAAATATTAAAAAATGTTATAACTACAATTATAAATCAACATTATTAAAATAAGTCTTACCCACTCGCTAAGTCTCTATCCAGCTGGCCTTTGATCTAAATGAAAATGGGCTTGGTACTGGCTTTATTAAGCCTATAAATGAAGCCCTGTTTCCTTTTCTCAGCTAGGTCCAAAACAAAGATCCGTGAAAAATTAAAAGGGCCACATTTTGGTCCAACTTCAATTGCTTCAATGGATTGAGGGAATGTTTGGTTTGAGAGGATGGTAGAAGAAACAAATTCCCTATTTAATTATTAAAAAATTAAGAAAATAGGATGAAAGGAAAGGAAAAAAGAGGGAAATATTTTATTTTATTTTATTATTTTAAAATTTTAACATCTTTTCAAACTTTTTAACTTATTCAAAAGAATTTTAAATTACTTTTTACTTTATTTTTCATATTTTTTAAAATCAAATATATCTTTAAAGATTGATTTATTTATATTTAATAAGAAAAGAAAAATAAAGACCAATCTAATCAACTTTAAGAATAAAGTGAGACATGAGACAACTTACAAAAAGCAAATGGTTAGGTAGGCCATGTTGTGATAGCAGCTACTTATAGCTTAGTAGTATAATTAAGATTGTTAATTTTTTATCTTTTTTTTAACATATTATAATTTTGGGGGTTAAAATCAACTTTGAGTCCCTTACCTTACAAAATTAGTAGATTTTAGCCTCTAACCTTATAATATGACATTTTTAAGCTTTTACCTTACAAAATTAATAGGTTTTAATCTCTCATCTTATAAAATTGATAGATTTTAACTCGCCACCTAGTATTATGACACTTTTAGCCCCTTATCTATACGAATTGAAGAAAATAACTCTCACTTAATATTATGTTATAATGTTCTGTTAGTTCCGTTAGTTGACTGTCAAGTCTATTAGTTGACTGTTAGTATCCAATAGTATTCTGTTAATGGAACTAACAAATAAAATTGAATTTAAATTTCATGTTTTTAATAACAAAATGCTAACGGTTGTTAATAATCAGCTAACAGAATTAATAGAATATTATAACTTAATATTATATGAGAGTTATTATTTTTAATTCGTATAAGTGGCAGTTAAAAATATTATTATATAAGGTAAAGGGTTAAAACTTACCAATTTTGTAAGATAAGGGATTAAATGTTGGTTTTTGCTAATTTTTAGAGAAGGGAGAATGGGGATTAGGAAAAAGGAAATTATGAGATTTGAGATTATAATTTATGAAAGTGATTTAACTAACTTAAGGTTAATGCTATTGGATAGGAGCAAGAAGATTTTTTTTTTTTTAATGAACGGTAGGTACTGGATTTGCAGAGGCCTTCATTTTTATACATATTGTAATCAAACTCCGCGTAAAGATAAACGAAGGAAAATGATGTAAACATATATATATATATATACACGAGTGGTGTTGTAAAAATAATTTTTTTATTTTTTATTTTTATATATTTTTTATATGTTATTAAATAAATATATATTTAATATTATAAATTTCATATAAATTAAAAAAATTAATCATTTTAATGACACGTTAAATTATATAAAAATATAAAATAAAATAATTATCTTAATAACATTTCCCTATATATATAGACCGAATATTTTCTTGTCCCATTGATTTTTAAATGGGTCCGCCTAATCTCCTTGCAAAAAATTTCAGCATGTTTTCGATCCCGTATTTTTCAGCGTAAATGATCGGCATCTAAAAAAAAAAAAAAAAAACCCACAGATATGCTTGGGATGTTCAAATATTCATGGAATGGACTAAATCTTATCAGTCAAAGATCATAATCAGCCACTACTTAAATTTTTTTTAGCTTACTTTTAGTCTTATACTAGCTAGCTATCAACAATGGCTTTTGCCTATTACCGAAAAAATAAAATTAAATGTCAATTTTGGTTCTTTTATTTTAAATTTTTGTTTCTTTTATATGGTTTTTTTTTTTAATCTTTTAGGCATAAAAAATGTATTTTTTTTACTTTTTTAATTAATTAATCTATTAAATTTATTTAAATATATATTTTTTTAGTCTTTAAAATTTTAAGTTAAGGGATAACAAATGTTTATAAGTTGAGGGATTACAAATGCACATATTTAAATTGATTTAATGGATTATTTAACATACAAATTAAAAAAAATATATTTCTCATAATTGAGGATAAAAAATATATTAAAAATTTAAGAAATGAAAATTATATAAAACTTTAGAATTGAAGAATCAAAATTCACATTTAACTAAAAAAACCTAGGGCCTTTTATCTTTTCTTTTCTTTTATTTTTATTTTTATTTTTCTTTAAGATAATATAGATGTTCAAAAGTTTGCCAAGCTGCCTCATCTGGCACTGAATAAAGCTCCACATAGGTTGTGACCTTACTGGTAATGCCATGCATATAATTGCATATTATAGTGAGAAGTTATTAACAAAGTTTCAAATTCTTGAGATGAATCTAATTAGGTGAAATCATATTCTCAAAGAAATATTAATTAAGAGAAAGATACTTAAGAGATGGTAAACATTGATATCTCATCTGTCTACTAACTGCAATTAATATTTAATTTATCTCTTTTAAACTGAGTCATATTCCACGATCAGTGGTCAGTGCCATATGTTGGGAAAGAGATGACCCCTGCATTTTGACTTGAATTGAAGGGTCTGTAATGAGTATCCTTCTCAGCTTCAATATTTATCATCCATGTTTGGCTATATCATTCGAACGTGGGGATTAACTATTTTAGTCAAAATTTTCTCACTTTTTCTAAAAGACAACATCTTCTTCTGTTTCATATATTAGTGCTTAATTGCGCAACCATCCTATAGCCCTATGACATGATTTTTTGTTTGCTTGAGGTGTAATGCATGCAATCGAAAAGCACGAATTGGTGCAATCTTAATCATACCCTACAACTTTTAATTACCTCTTAACACTTTTTTCTTCCTAATTAAGTTATAGAGTAGAAGATAATCCTTCTAATCTTCACTCCAGTCCACTTCAAGTGTATTATATCCATAAAAAATACAGTGTTAACTGTGTTAGTAATCAAACAAGTATAATTTCACAATTAAATCTGGCTTAAGTCTCTAATCTAAGACCAAACACTAATGTAGAGGCATACTTTGTTTCAAAGTGTACACAAACTACCTTTATAAACATAATTGCAAAGGAGTTAACAAGAATCTAAATACAAATATGATTGAGCACACGTGGAAGAACGTGAGGGCTGTCAGAGAACCAAGAAAAGCTGACAGAGAACATACACATATAGCCCTCGGAATCTCACAGTCAAAAAAAATGAAAAAAAAAATGAAAACATTATAACAGGGACGTTTCAAAAGCCAAAGCTGCCATAGTAACAGAGAGAACCTCACACGCCATACTTATATACATGTGGGCATCAAAACTTGGAATTTCGAGCTCAAATTCCCCTCCTCTTCTTCTTTTTAGATGGATACCCTCATACCCATTTGGGTTCAACAAATTTTGGATCCCCTATCTCATCATCAACCAACCAAACATCCATCACTTCTACTTCTACTTGTGTCCTTAGAGAGAGAAAATTAGGAGAAGAGAGCTTGCTTTTTTGACATAAAGAGATCAACTTTATTCCACGTTACTGACTTACTGTAGTAAAACAGCTACCCCTTGATTTTTGCAAAAGCAGATCCAAAACCCAGATTCCATTCATTAGCACTGTTAATTAGTGACATCATTGTAGTAGTAAGTGCCAAACCAAAACCAAACAAAATTAAGGATAAAGCAAAGGTGGTCGTGTCTCAAGGATTTGAGATATTTTCTTTGTTTCTGTTTTTGAATATGTGGTCTATTCTGGGATCTCTACTTGTTTCACTTTAGAAATTTTACCAAACAAAAAACCTAGGATGTAGGATCCATACATTTTTTGCATGGTTTTGAGTGGGATTTTGGCGTTTTTCTTCCCACAGAAAAAAACTGATATGTTCCTAAATTGCATATCCGCACAAAACAACAAATCAGTACTTGCTCAATAATTACATAATCATTAATTTTTTTCCCAAATGTCTGAAACTTATAGATTTAAACTTCTGGATTATAAGATATATGTATATGTATATGAAGTTTGATGCTTAAAACATATTGTGTGTAATTTTTTGATATGTTTGATTATGAATTATATAACAACAGATAAGACATAAAAAAAAAGTATTAAGAAGGGATTGAATATACATCTATATTAAGTACTTCTCTTATTATAAGTAAATTGCAAAACCATCATATTCAAAGCCACTTGTCTCTTTCTTTATCTATTGAGTAGAGAAAGACTCAAAAGTTTAAGTACTGGAAGCAAAAGCAAGATGGGAAATGGGGATGGAAGCACAGACTGAGATGATGGTATATTCAAGATCTTTTTTGTTTCTTGGGTAGGTAAAAATTAACTAACCTCAGGTAAAAATTCCTAAAAAACACGGGACCAAGAGGAATCTAGGAATTTGAGATTGCCAGGGGATGATTAAAGGGAACTGATCATGGCAGCAATAACGACTAGCTCCTCCATCATTCAAGGCTTTCAACCCTTGAATGCGCCTTTGACGGTAAACAGAGAAAGGCAAAGAGAGCAGCAGAAAAGGAAAATTGGCTCACACTGTGTTACCCAAAAAAAAAAACAATGGCGCGCGTGAGTCCTGGAAACTTAATAATTTCAGCTTTCAGGATACGTGTGCTAGCTTCTTCTTCTGCCTCGGTCGACTCCCTAGCTAGCTAGGGTTTCCTGCATCTTGCATGTAAGGAAAACGAGCAAGAAAGAGAGAGAAGGCGAAGAACTCTCGACATTTTCTAATGGAAATCCATTTCCAAGGGCATTGATCTCCAAAGGAGAAAAGCTGCTATAATATGAATTAAATAAGAAAAGCCCTTGTATTAAAACATGAAATCCTAATTTGGTTAATTAAAGAAGTTCACACCTTCATTTCTAGGGATCAAAACACTTCATACAGTGCAATATTTGATTAATTAATAACATTTTAGCCCCTCATGCCATGAACATAGACCTAAATTAAACCACAAAATACAACAAAAGAGTTTAATTAAAGTCTACCATTCTAAGTTTTTTTTTTTTTCTTTTCTTTTTTTTAATTATTGATCAAAGATATACCATAATCATCACCTTCTCATCCGCAAGTTAGATTGGACCGTTCTGATCTATCTTGAGTTGATTTTTCTTTGGTGAAAGCCTGTGGTAATTCGAAGAAGAATGCCGAGAGATTTTGTTAATCACAAGAGATGGGTGGTGGAAGAAGTGAAACCAGAGAGGTGATCAGTCCATGCATTGCCACTCCAGCTGAATTGATCATTTCCTGATGATAACCCCAAAAATTTCCTTGACAAATTCATCCCTTGATGGTTTTCTTCTATTTTCACAGTACTAGCCAATTGAGTAACACTAACACCGCCGTCCAGTTGCTTTGGCTGGAGCTGACCACCGCCATAACTTGGTGCCTCAACCCCCTCAGTACCCTCAAAGGAGTATAACCCTGATGAAGGCTCCAAACCATTAGCCAAGAAAGGAAATTGCTGCACTTGTTGTTGAAGTCTCCACTGCTCCACTAGCCCAGTTGATAACACTGATACACCGCCACTAGTACCACCACTTACTGCTGCCAGCGGTGTCTGAATTCCTCCAAAATTCAATCCTAAATCGCCGGAATTGAAGCCCCCAAGATTATGTAAAGGTGGTAAAAGCGGTAATTGTTGTGGTACCATAGGGGGCAAATGGCCTAGTATATCAGTGCAACTAGTGGAGGCAAGTGCTGTACTTGACGAAATGTTAGACCTGGTTTGACCGCCGTCTGATACCGCTGGAGACTTTGATCTGTTTTTTCCCTTGCTTTTCTTGTTTCTTCTACAACCACCACCAACCGGAACGTTCCTTAAAGCGCCTCCTCTAGTCCAGTACCGGCGGCAGGTCTTGCAAAAGTGACGTGGCTGTGTGAGGCTGTAGTTATTGAAATAACAAAATTTGGTGTTGGTTGATTCACATCGTGGACACTTGAGAGCCGCCTCAGGTTGTGGTATCTTGGCTAGCCGTGCTCTCTCTGCCATAGAACCGGGTCTAATCGACGCCATACCACCACCACCACCTGCTGCTGGAGGTGGCGGTGGAAGCTGCGGATTATAATCGGTGGTGATTCCAGCTTGCTGATTCGGTTGCTGCAACATTCAAAAACCATATAAATCAAAGGAAAAGATTTAGTTTTTCCGTTTTTCCTTTTTTCTCTATAATCGCTAACCACTAATTAACTTTTTTGCGAATTAGCAAAACATGTATCAGAAAAAAGAAAACGAAGAAGAAATATTATTTGGTATATTCAAGAGAAAGATGAGAAAAAGGATAGCTATAGGTAGGAATATTATTTATGTTTTCTTTGGAGAAGAAGGTATAACAATTTGAAGAAGAAGGAAACATCACCTGAGGCCAACTGGGTGGATCTAGATAGACTGGAATAGATGAAAAAACCATGGTTTTCTTGAGCTAGCTTTCTCTCTTTTCTAAAGGTTGGAGAATCACATCAATCCAAGGTTGCAGAGAAAGAGAAAGAGAAAGAGAAAGAGAAGGAGATGGAAAGATAAAGGAAGAGAGGAAGAGAGGGTAATTTATGTTCTTCTTTTTGTTTTTATTGTAAAAATTTTATTGGTTTAGGAGTGAGTTTTTTTTTTTTAATTTACTCTACTACGTGTATGGAAGCAGCTGTGAGTTTCTTCTTTTTTTTTTTTTTAAATAATAAAACAAATACAAATTTTAAGGTGTGGGAATTGAACCTATACAGCCTTAGGAGTTGGAGACATTCTTTTTTAGTCTTTTTAAAAAAAAAAAAAAAATTTTGCAGTGTCCTATAGTACCCATGCATGTGGACAAAGAGAGACAGAGAAAAGAAAATCCTTTTTAATAAAAGCTTTATTATAGTCTACATTATTTTGGAAGGCATAATTAATGAAAATTAAAGGAAAAGGTAGAATGTGCATGGGTCTTAGATGGAGCGTTTGGTGGAAGTGTCGCGGTGGAATGTACCTTTGGTTCTGGGGGTCTGTCGCTGATATTTTATTTTTTAATTCATTTATTCATGTAAAAAAGCTAGGATTTATTTTATTTTATTTTTAATTTTTAGTTTATTGTTTCTTCTTTACATAAATTTATTGTAATACGTGAACTCCACCGAGCAGTCCGATGGGCCATGCATTTCATTGAGGGAGGTAACAAGTTCATCAGATTTGGAAATCGAATTTTCAGTTGTTAACAATTAATAAAATTAATTTACTAATCATTGTTCTTGTCAAAAAAAAAAAGAAAAAAAACAAAGATTATTGTAATATGCGGGACAAAATGCTAAAGTAAACCAAAGCAAAAGGTGTGAAATTTAAGAAATGAAAATATACTTTTATCTTAAATATCCATGGTTTGGAATCTAATGATTTTCAATAATATTCTAGCTAGTTATCCTCTTCACCATCAATATTCATATGACTTAATTAATTAAATCAAAAGTAACACTATTAGTATTAGCTAGTATAATTATTATACTAATGCTATAAAGAATTAACTTTTCAATGTGCTGAATAAAAAAGAAATTTAATTAATTAAAGGTATTAATATACGTGCTTCCCCTCATTTAATTGTCTTAGTCTTTTTTTTAAGGCACTTAATAAGAGTAGAAAAGACATTTCCCCCACAGAAAGGTCAATATCTTTGTATACATCAAGATGCATAAGCAATTTTTTGGAGCAATAAAAAAATATCTAAGAAAAATAAATACTGTCTTTATTTAGAAAATGGTTTCTTAATTAATTAAAGAAATTGTTAAAAGTCAAAATCTTATAACAATTAAAATGTAGTGAATGATAATACAAATTTTTAAAATTTTTTAATAAAATAAGGTATATATATAAACAATTTGACAAATAATTTCATCATCAGTCAATCTCAATCACCAGAATAAAGGTAAGCTAGGGTTTCGGGATTCTTGAGCACTCAGGCTAATTGAAACACAAACATCATCAACTTTATTTCCAGAGGATCGATATATGAGAATTATTTTTTGATCGATTCTGGATGAGAATTATCAATCCTTCTTTATTCACGTGAATATGATAGCCTAAATGCGAGAATCATACCAGAATTTTCCACAATACAAAGGCAAAAGTAACGTTCATTAGGGTAAAGATTATGTACGGATATCAATGATTTGTTGGTTTAAGTGAAAAGAGTTCAGTTTTTTTTAAATAAAGTTTTAAATTCAAATTTTGTGAATGAAAAATAAATATTGGGTGAGTTTTTTTTTTAATAAAATCTAATGTGACTCGATTACGAATTAATTAAAATTTAATGCGGTTATCGAATACCATGAGATTAATATAAAAAAAACTACGTACGGGCACTTGGGGTCACAGCTGGGTTGTGGTGTGGTGGCCGCAAACGTAGGCCGCCGGATATGGAGTGGGGCGAGTTGTCCTCTTCAGATGCTCACGGTCGGATAGCTTTCGCTTTTCCCACGTGCCACGTCAGATCCCACATGGGGTCCCACCTTACCTTCTTTTGTAAGTTTCTTGTCTTTTGGCCACTGCCAAAGCCCTAAGAATTATATCATCGATCAGGGTCGGTGAAAAAAAAAAAAAAGTTAGGAATCTATTCAAAATGGTCCCCACAAACCAAACAAGAGGGCGTAGTTTCTTGGTAAAAGTTTATGGAGTAAGACAATGGATATCATGCAATATGCATCAAATCTTGTGTTGATGATGGATTGTGGACCGTCGGATTTCACTCCTTCCTTCCTTAATTAGCTAGGGTCTAAAAATTAGTAGTCAATCCCTTGGGCAGGGGATGTTTTGGCCAAAGGGAGAATATACTATATATAATTGAATAAATATCATGATAGAAGTCAAAAAAAATATAAAGAGATTGCATATATATATGGTGCTTTAACAAGAAAGAATTTCATCACCTATGTCGGAAATACATATATATATATATATATATATCATCTGAAACGATACGAGCTAATATAGTCCAATAAATAGACTTAACATGGTAGGGAAAAAAAAAAAAAAACTGGCCTCCAGTGTGGTTGTTATCATGTTAACACTAATTATAAATCACATAATTAAATTAGTTAGAATCATTTAGCTAGCACAATCGAATCAAATTCAATAATATGATACCTAAAATCAAAATATTCCGGCCTTCAACTGTAGAAGAATAATGATAAGAAAAAGGAGAAAAATCAAGAATGTTCGAATAAAAAATAATTCAAAAATATATAACTGAAACAACAAAAATTTGAATTTGAACCCTTGGATAGTTGATATATATATTCTTTAATATTGTGGACAAAATTAATATTTTTTAAATGGAAAATGAGAGGCTTACCCAATTTATCAACACCCTCCGTTACACACATTTTAATTTTCGTTGTTTCCATTAATTACACTTAATTTTGTTACCATCCT